TTTTGTTGTTTATGTACTTATGACTACTTTTTTTGTAAATGGAACTCAGTTTCCATTATCATTGTACTTCTTTATCCAACTAGTTACTGTGGTGCGATGTTATATTGTTCTCGAAATGGTCGCTGTATTGATGTCACGTTTCGCGATCTGTATCTTTAGATTCATTTTTTTAACTTCTAGTGAGATGCTGTTGTAAATGAGAGGTAAAGGTTGAAATGAAGAGTTTGCGAAATGCAGATATTTCTGATTCGAAAATACTGGTTGTGATTTTCTTATGTATTTTCATCCTGTATCTTGTATAACAGATCCAATATTTTGTGGCTTTTTTCCTGTTTTCTCTTTTAGTGAAACCTTTATTTTTTGTCTTAATTTCTCACTGTTGTCACTTTGCTTATTCCTCAAGGACTTTTCGCTAATTGGTAAGCTAGGATACTCTAACAAGAGTGTTTTGTCTGTTTTGAACATCAGAATCAAGAAGAGGGGATTGTCACTGTTGAAACTAAGTACTATGGTTACAAAAAAGACGGTATTTTCTTGTACTAGATGTTTACAGTTTAATTTTTTGTTAACTGCATCAATTTGGGTTTTAATCCTTGAGTGTGATATATATTTTTATGGTATAAGGGCCATTTGAAATTGTTGTATAATGTCTTTCGTTAGTTCCTTAAAAAATTTGTTTGCTCAGTAGTTATTCTCATGATTGTATGAGTCATTTATCAGGACGCTGAATTCTTTCTCGCATCATTCTTTTCATTTTTCATTTTTTTGTGAAGATCTGTCTTAAATTTATTGTCTTTGTAATTGAACTAGTGGCATACTTCAAGGTGGATGGTTTGTACTAAAAACTATAATAGTAACTTTTATGAGGTTATAGTGTGGCTACAGAACGTCCAGTAGTTGCATGACAACCTATCTAACGATAATATAACGACGGTTAAAGTCGAGAGGATTTAGAGTCTCCATTCCAGCGGCACTTCGTATGGAAACGCGTGTCAGTTAGGGTCTGTTTGCGAGATTCGGGTTTTGGGTTCTGGGGAAGCTTTGGTCTTTGCAATGATTGCGAATCTGTTATTTTACATTTGTGTTCTGAAGTGCGTTAGATTGTCTTCCACTGTTACATTGATGGTTTTACAAAATGTAACTTCTGAAATAAACTGTTTGACGAAAAGCGTTTCAAAAGTATAGTATGTGAAAGACGAATTCCAAAAACTGTTTACCCAAATTTTCAGTAATGTATGCTCGAAAGTTTCTTTTCACACCACAAAGTTTCAATATAAGTACTGCGAAAAAATGTACGGTAGGAGGGGTCAGCGCCGTTGTCAAAGCGGTCACAAAAAAAAATCGGATAAGTAAGAGTACAAAATTTTATACAAAATCTGTGGTAGTATGTTGATGGGAAGCAAGGAGATGCATTGCAAGTGTGAGGGGTTCAGCGGGATAATGGTTTTGTAACATTATTAAGTATGGAGAGGGACCACAGCTTTTGAGATTCTTTATATTTGTAGTTGCCGAGGGGTTTGTTTTAATGTTAGTCTTTTCATTGCGATTGCTCTATTTTTTGTTCTAGTTTCATTTAATTTCAAATTTCTTTTTGTTTATTTCTGTTTTTTTTTTTTCGTTTTCGTTTTTTTTTTTTTTTTTTTTT